TATTTATATACTGTACTTATTTGTACGTCATTTTCAGATCCAGCATGGGACTCATCTCTTTGCTTTGTGAGATTTGCTTCTGGGTGTTGTTGATCATGGAGAACGCCGAAAGGAAATTGAAAGATGTGAAGCGCCGCCTGGACGCCTTTGCCAACCCGGAGTCTTTGGATAGCTTCTCAGTGCTGCAAGACGTGGCCCTTCAAGTTGTTTGCCACAGTCAGTTGACCTTGTTGAGCCGTTCTTTTGGTTTGAACACTGGGCCATGCGCACTTTTTGCTGAAAACGATGCCCCCCCCCAAGGTCACAATGCTTGTCAGAGGGTGTGTCATGGGTCCAACCCCTCAGTCTTGACGGCTGCGGCCGACCGAGGTTTCGATTCAGTGAACCTCGGTGCTGGTGATTCCACCAAGTGGGTGTCCTGGCTGAAGAGTCGGATCTCCAGCAGATGAGGGTGGGTCAAAAATCATCTATATATACTGTTGACCACTAAACCCCTCGGAGATGTAACAGCATTCTGGAATATATGAGGCATCCATTTGCGTCATGGGCGTGCCAGGCACGCCCACAGCACCAACGGGTTTGAAGAGATGCGGCCGTCAGTTGGATTGAGTCCCAGCGCATCAATGTTGAGAGCAGACTGGAGCAGACAACTTCCGCATGGTGTTGCAAACCTGCAGTAACGAGAGCCTCATGACATCAGAAACCACAAGGTCAAATGCCTTGTCCATGTTCATCCAGAGCCTTTGCGGACAAGTCTGCCAAACATGAATGAGTCAGAAATGGTGCCCACTTTGTGGGGCATGTCCGTGCCTGCGTTCTGATTAAGGCAGAGGTGCCTTTGAATGACACGTTTAGCCTATTTGCTTGCCAAGTTCCAGGTGCTGCCAATCGACTGCAGGAGATGATGTGACGCTTGACAGGCAGTATGACACCAAACCGGAAGATGCCTGACTCTATGCACTAGCATAGCAGCCACCTGTTAGAGGTACAGTAGATCATATTCAAACCAACCCGAACCGGACCTCCGGCTTGGCAGCTTAGCAAAGGATACAATACACTGCCTATAGCACGCAGTAATGTGCAATGGCTGGGGTCATAATGATTGTGACAACATGTTTTTGTAATAACATAAAAAAATCACATGCACGTAGACGATGTGGTTCTTTTGGTCCGTGGTTCAGACAAGTCGTTGCCGCATGTAGAGTGCCCCAATGGGTAGGGAAGACACTTGTGGTTCTTTGGCTTGATATGTCTTGCCGAATGCACTAAAAGACAGTCGAACAACATGCCGTGTTCGCTATGTGTATATATATATATTATTCTACGCCCAAGCCCGTCCGAATCAACAAGAGAGGAACCGGGGTTTTTGTAAAGTGCCCCGATGAGGACAGGCTCCAACTAGGCGGTATCATGAACTTTCCGAAAACCGCAGTAATTGCCACAGGTTTTGGTGAGGTGTCCAAATCTTTAAGATCCAACAGGCATCGCCGGCACGATTGGATTTAAACAGTTTGAGTCCTCCTGGCCTCCAAGCAGAATGCTGTCAGATTCCAATGGATTCCTGGAACCCTATATGGAACCCAATCGTGTGCCCACCTTGTGCTTCCCATCCCGTCAGTTCGCGCCGCCGCGAGGTGGGTCTCAGGAGATCACGGAGGCGAACCGTGCCATCCTCGAAGCGGGCGATACCATTTGGCCCGCCTCCGTCATTCTCGCCGCGCCCTCGGAGCGGTGGCGCAACGTGGCGGTGTTCGGTCCATGGGGCCGTGGGTTCGGCGTGGCGGCCCTTGGTGCGGAAGTTCTTCGGAGGCTCTCAGTTGGGTTTCGCGAAACATGGCTCTGCCAAGGAACGAACAGATGCCGCCAGTTGAGGTGCTGAACGATTTGAGTTGTGTTGCTGTGTCTCCCACACAGACTTAAGATATTCTGGACGGTTGTGGGGACGGGCTTTTGTATGCTTTCGTCTATTTGGCACATTTTTAAGATTTATACTTATTTCATATAAAGGCATCGACCACGAGATGGATAGTGTTCAGCAACTCGTGTAGAATTGCAGGAAACATGCCAACATGTCCAACACATTGGATGGAACTCACCAATTACCATCACCTTTTAAGAGGCATTCGATGCTTGTGCCTGAGGCCCGGTGGCTTTGCATCCAGCCCCCACTGGTCCCACTTCAAGGCGCTCAGACGCGCCAACTCAAGACGTGAGGAATGATGAGAAATGCTTTTGACGGCGGGGCTTGATCGTCCCCACAATGAATGGATCGATTTAATATGGTTTAATCAAGAATTGATGCTTTTGCCTTTCCTTGTTTGATCCCACAGCTGAACATAGCGGCTTGCCAAAGCTGCACCAGGTCAATGCCTGGCATAGTTAGAAATGAATCAGTGAGGGCAGACATCCCGTGACCATGATATGCGAAGTTAAAAAATGGTAAAAGGAACTCGATATTGAGACACTATACTGGTCCCCAATGAGATGGGACTAGTGCAACGTACTCACCGGTTTTGATTGGCCTATCTCATGTGTCCAAAGCATAAACAACTTTTGAACGGAACCAAATCTATCTCATGTGTCCTGGCATTGCCGAAATGCTAGATTCCTTGGCATGTCCGGAACTGCTGTGAGACATTCAAATTCAGGAACTGTGCCACAGTCGGGGCAATACGAGATGGGATCTGGACTGAACGGCCCTTGTTTATTCCAGGGTTTGTGTTTTGGAGGTGCGCGCCTCAAAAATTGTCCAGCTAATCTTAAAATCCATTGTTGCAATCTTAAAACCTATTAACCTATTTCCAGTATATAAGATGAGTTAAGGCACCTGCTGAATAAGCAGGGGATGTGTGCTGCACAAGCGCCGCCTTATCTTATCTTACTTAAGTTCTTGTTCAGGGAGGGCCGGGTGGGAGAGAAAGAAAGAGAGAGAGAGAGAGAGAGACACAAAAATAACTGCTGCACATTGGGTCCTGGCCACTAGGGCCCAGGTAAGGGAGACAAGGCGCAATGGGCCTTCTAAGATGGCATGCACCACACACCATAAACAGAAAGGAAAAAAGAAAAGCGGAACAAAGAAAAAACAATGAGACTTTAGGACACTTCTGCGGCACGACCCCAAAACAGTCTCAGTGAGAATGCACGCGTGAGATAGGATGCCAAAAGCACATGAGATGGGACTTTAGGACCGTATGTGACTTCTTATGTCGTGCTCGGATCTCATTTGCCCTTTTCATCCATTTTGGATGTCCATAAAGTCCCATCTCATCAATACCCAGTATAGTACTTAGGCCGATGGTTGCACCCTCACATTTGTGAATCAGGCCCGGATGTGTCACACCATGTCGTAGCGGATGGGGTCTCGCATCCTCACCAGGTCGAAGCGTCCTGGACTTGGGCTGCGGTTTGGGCATTGCTGGTGTCACAGCTGGCAGCTTGGGCGCTCGTGAGGTCCTTCTGCAGGATCGAGCCCTGGCGGCCAGGTCCACGCGATCCACACGCTCCAATGAGCGACCAACCCAGGCTCCAATAGGGGAAAGGGCAAAACGAAGCACCACACACGTAGTCGTTCTATATTATGTCGTTATCCTGGGTAAATTTGGGTGATATACTATAGCTGGGTACTAGTGACTAACAGATTCAAAAAACATCTCTGCCGGTTGGACCATGCACAATTCTGTAGCGTGCATCTAATTGGAGCATGGATAAGTCATCAGCCCTTAGTCGTGCTGAGTGTGGAGAACGGAGGAGAGTTGTATGTCATCTAAATTTTGCTGAAAACGCCTGATTCTATAATCCCCTATGTCGCATAAATTTGCCAAGGAAGGTTTTGCATCAGAGACTTTTGATGTTGGGCTCCAATAAATGTGGACCTCAACAAAAATCCGCTTGTCATCTGGACTTTCAATGTTTGGACGACCTGCACCATGCACAAGTAATCTGACTTCAATCATGGTGCACTCTTCAGTGTGGTGCTGCATGTCACCAGAACCCAGTATATATTGGGTTCTCAGTCCGTGTCTTTGTGTGTGTCTTGTTCTAAAGGCTACTTCATGCTGTTAATATAATCCATCCATACGCCAACGTCCCAATGGTTCTCAGAATTCACAGGAGGTTATGCGGAATGTTTTATACAGGGTATCATTGGAGACTCTCTTGGACTCGTTTGTGAAGGCCTCCAGTTCACACCTCAAGTTTGACAGGCTGCTGGCCGGGACGACTCTATTCTTCAACAGTATGTCCTGTGAATCCTTCTGACTGAAAGTAGTTGAGAGATGTTGAAAGCTTCGTGCAGACCGTGAGCCCTTGAAAGCATGCAGACTGTTTGCTGGTCGTTGCTTTTGCTGGTCATTTGCAGGTTCGTGGATGAGGTGCCCATTGGGCCAAGAGGTTTGTGACATGACATAATTACCCGTCCGATCTAAGGAGATCCAGCTTGCCTTCGGGCAGCCCTGGAGCTTCCCCGGCAATGTGGGAGCGTGACATATGCTGGTTCATTTGCTGTATGTTTGTCTCGTTGTTGACCATGATGGCCATGATGGCCAATTTGCTACTGTACTGGTTGCTGTTCCACTTGTTTTGAGCTTGGTTGTGTGGCCGAAGCAGGCACTGCTCGCGCCCCGAACTCAATCGACAGGGTCACAGTACACATTTGGCATCATTTGTCTCTAATAATGTGCACTTCCTCACTCAGCGGCCCAATCCAGAATGTAAAGATGGTGGAGGGGCAATCCAGAATGTATAAACATGGTGAGGGGGCGTGGACGGGGCCTGTTTGTGGCCATCCCGATCCCAGATGGTTATTCACGAGAACCAGAAACGAGAGGGATTAAGCGCTGAAGCCAAAAATATAGACAACCATAAAAAGTATAACTAGTGGCAACTGGTATGAGAACGTAGAGATTCCAGTAGACATGCAATTTCTCCCGTACCAAATCCCTGCACCTATATTTGGTTGTTGATGTGCATCCGTGAGATTGTTTGGTCATCCTCACTAATCGATGTTGGCACAAGTTTACAAGCATGGCTCCAGTGTTGAATTCTTCATGTTAGATCAGGAGACGGCTGCGAGGGTGCAGGTGGCCTCACGCGTCACCACGCTTCGCTGTGAATACTCCGACTTGGCGGCGAAGCTGATGAACAAGGAATCTTCAATACAACAAAAACCTTGCCGGAGCAGTCCAGTGGATAGGGAGTTCAGGGTGCTGTTGCGGTGTTGCTCAGAAAAGCCGACGAGTTGACTGCACACCAGCCAGAGCGAGAAGCGGTCTCCAGGAGGCTTTGGCAGCCTTTGCTCAGCCGGACGTCTTGCTGGGGTGTGACGTCCTCCTTTCGCAGGCGGGCTGCTCAAGCTATAGTTGAGGGTTGATGATGGTTGGCCATTCTGCTTCGAAGCTTGAACAACCTGTACATCCCTTCGATACAAAAAAAACGCTCAAAACTAAAAACGCTACCAACCTCCAAAAAGTGTATCTAACCACTAAAAAGTGCTCATACCACCTCTCAAGTCATTCATCTCCTGACCGCCTGCTCACACTTATGCACACACCTACGACTGGCATCGATGCGCTGGGCCAAGCTTTTCTCGCAAGGGACCTCAGCGGAAGCACTCCTTCCAGTATCGGTGGTAACTCAGAAGTGAGACCTCGATTGTTCTCTGAGGGGTGGTAAGGCTGTGCTGATGGCGTGAGGATCTACTGATTTTACCAATAAAATCCTCATCGCCCCAACACATCCAAACGGTTGGATTCAAAGCACGATTCGCGGTAGTGAGTTGGTGCGAGAGGTCAAGCCTTAGGCAGGTTGGGCCATGGTCCATGGTGAGAAAAGCTAGAGTTCATGAGTGCATTAATCACGTGTACATTCATGAATCTACATACATTTCAGTCACGGAACAGTATATGGCCCATCATGTGCAGCTTCGGCCTGCACTTGAACAACCGTAGTCGTAGACTAGCCGTCAGTGAACTCAGGCAAGCGTATGCTTCCTTGCGTACTGTCAAGGATGTTTGGTTTCGGGTGTGAGGAATCCCAAACAAAGCCTTCTGATCTATAGCCTAAGCGTCCACCATGGCCCAACCTGCACTGATGGCTGTTGTTGCCACATCGGGAGATAGGAAGAACCCATTGGCATAGAGCGTCCTCCAGAAGCTGCCACTTGCCCGGTTCATATATTTCACCACTTCAAGGACTTCTGACAAGGGGTGATCCTTAGGGACATAAGCTGAGAAACCCTTCAGACTACATCCACACCCCTCAATAAAAGAGAGTGAGTGTGTGAAATATACCTGAATAGGCGGGCTCAACCAAAGCAATGCTCTATGTGACAGCCTGGCGACTGAGGCCACGGATGCTGAAGAAAGCTCAACTTCCAGCCAGGATCCCAAGATGGCTGTATCGTGGCCTTTACCGCCACCAGAGGGGTATGCACCAGTCCTTCTATTGGCGAGGGAAAATGAGAAGGGGTAGCTTTTGTTTGCACAAACCATCCCCAAAGTTTGAGGGAAAGAAAAGTATAGTTCTGGGCACAGGTGAGATGCTGCTGAATCTTGAACTGCAATTTGTTGAAGTAGGAAATGCTGGTATGCTTGCGGTTGGTCTTACACCAAGTGGCATAGCGTTCAAAAGCCCTCTCCAACTTTGCATCAACAGTACCCCTTTGCCCAAAGTGACCGATCTTCACTAAAACCATCAATGCGCTGGCGTTCTCATCTTTCCCATAACCTATGTGATAGGTGTGAGTAGGATCCGTTTGGATTCGGGATGGTTCCGTGCCCCCGGGGATGTTGGACAAAGGAAGATAGCAATTGGCCTTGAAAGGTGACGGATTGATGTACCCAACAGATAAGCTGCGCAAAGGTCCATCAGGTGACATGTTCCACCACTCCTTAGATAGCTAGCTTTGTTTACAAATTAGTGAAATTGACATTACAACTTCAGATCCCTTCACCCTCAAAGAAAGTAAAAAAAGTTACAAGTGGTCCAAGACACTTGTACGTCACAAAGGTGACACTTCCGGGGATTTCTAGCTTGGAAACCTGGCTTCAGTTTTGCGATCTTCCTGAGGAATGGCCAATCACCTTTCAATCCAACGTACACGGGTCTCAATCTCACTGGCTGACCATTGATGGCAACCTGGGCAAAGACCCAGATGTCTAAGAGTCTAGGACCATTGGGATCTTCGAGGCTTTTAGGACCCCCTTACTCCACAAACCACCGTCAAAAAACATATGACTGGTTGAGGAACTTCAAAGCCCCCTTCGTACAATCTATTGAAGTCTTGCACAAGCGCGTCAAACAATCCATCAAAAGTCTTGTCGTTCTTGGCGTACATAGCCGATGGAACAGCTGCATACAAGAGGCGGTTGGTGTATGTTGCCCTCAGGGTTTGGCTTGTATATATCCTATATAGAGTATAGATAAACAAATCCTTCAAACATTCACAAATTCAAAATCTATATATATATATATATTTTGGACTGACTTGGCGGGCCCCTTCAAATTGGCTTTGCCATCAAAGTTGGTGATGACCGGCTGATAGCTGAAAATCATAATTGGCCGCTTGTAGCGGCCTCGGCCCTCATCTCCATGAATTGCAATTGGGAATGAAAACCCATAGGCATCTTCTGGAAAATCTTTGTAAAATGGCAAGTTGGGGTCTACCGCTTTGTAACTCAACCACCAATCCCTCAGGATGTTGGAAAACTCGGCGAAATGATCCGTGCTTCTCCCACCAAGAAAGAAGTGACCACCAAAGCTGAATGCGGTTTCCATCCACGCGGAAAGCGGCAAGGTCGGGTAGTCATAGTCCACTTCACGAACTCTGGCTTTGGAGATCCTGCGCACAATCGTGGGCACTAGTACAACTTCCACTGGCAGACGGCGCCCAGTCTTTGCAGCAAAAGCGTGAAGCCGGCGACAGCCGTGCGAGACTTTGACATTCTTTGGCTCCGCCAACAAAGAAAGTTCAGTGTCTGCAATGCCTAGGAACCAAAGTGAGGACCACAAAAGTGGATATCTAATGGTCAACCCTGACACAAAAACCATTCAGCCAAAGGGCCATGTTTTTTGAGTTTTCTCGAAACCATCCCCGCCATCTTGCATGCGTGTTTTGCAGGAATGCCTTGCTCCACGCCTTTCACGAGCTCACCGGCAATGTCTTCATCAGAGCCTGGGACACCAGCCAGTGGCAAAAAGGCGAAACCCAAAACTGACACCATGCGTATTCTAGGACCCATGCTCACGCTGTCATCTGGACCTGGCCATGCACTGGGTACAACCTGGTTCGTTTGAAGCATGCGTGCTAGAACAATTCCAAAGCAAGTACGGCTTGTTTTTGCACCACAGCTTGTCTTCGCCACACAGCGTCTGACAGTTTTGAATGCGGCTTTCCAACCGCCTTCCCTACCAATCAGTCTATGCCATTGTGGCCAAAAAAAGCTCCAAAATCTGTGGCTGGAGCAAATCAAAATCAGCTACCCCTCCAAAGCATCAGCCTTGCGCTTTGAACTGGCGGACTTCGCTTTGGCTTTCTTCGCTGCCTTCCCCTTGGCCTTTGGCCTTGAGGATTTCTTCCCAGCATCCTCAGTACTCTCAGCCTTCGGCTTCTTGATCTGCCTAGGCAACCATGGCCCAAAATATACATGTTTCCAACATCTTGGGACAACTATAGATCTAAGCTCATAGCTTGGATCTGGAAATGAAATTGTTGAGAGTCACGTCGAGCTTCGTGCAGGTTGCATAGTGCCCCTGAAGTTCTGTCTCAAAGTCCCTGCCATCTCAATTGTGTCAGGGTTACACCAAACATCAAACATGGCTGGCGCGGATAGTCTCAAACCCTGGAATGTGTCACGCGTGGGTTAGGCCTGGTCACATTCATAAGTAGGTCACGCTGAGCATCCATCAACTTCTCATGCACGGACTTGAGCTGCTCGATCACGATCTTGATTTGGGCCAGCAGCCTGGGCCATTGGTGTCGGGACTCCAAATGCTAAGTCAATCGGTATGTGAACTTTTATGCCGTCTAGTGCAACCGCATCGGTGGACATGCATTTCAATGTCCAAGCGAGAAACTCTTTGGAACGAACTGTTCCAATTGATTCGAGGTTGTCCTGAGACACACGTGAACACATATGACAAAAACACGTACATGTTCCAAATGTGCACCAAATATCTTGGTGCGTCCTAGCATCACAAACCTTGTGAGTGTTATCCATCTTCCGGCTGCAAACTTCGACAAAGGAAGGCAACAAGGAAACATGGCTTGCATTCTGCTTCAAGCTCGGGTAGCACAACCTAAGGTTTGCAGGGTAGCTTAATTTGCAAAAAGGTTTGCTCCCAGAAGTGTGTCATACATGAATCCGACTAGCAACTTAAAGGAAGAAGACTCAGCTCTGATGTTCGCTCCATCTGCCTCTCCAGCCTCCATGGCTTTCGCAGCAGCGAAAGCTGCTAGGGTTTCATTGCCGGCTGTTGTGTCAGGGATCCAGTCGGCATCGAGCAATGTACCATCTGGGTCCTGCGCGTATTTTTTAAAAAATATGTTCTACTATATAGGCGGTATGGTGAGCAGGCAGTATAATCTGTGGGGTCCTCTAAATCAAAGTCCCCTTGCTGACTCATGCCCTCACCCTTCTCAGTGCGGAACAAGAACTCATCGTCCAGCACAATCCCTATCTCTTCTTCTCCGTGGACAGGATTCTTGCGTTTCTTGTGATGGCGTTCCGCCCAATCCCAAGCGGCGTCCAACATTTTCCTGGGATCTGTTGGGGTTGACCAAAACCTATAATGCATCAAACAATGCAGTATATTGCTACTGAGGTTCTTGGTCCAATGTCTCTCGTTTTGCAACCATACCTTTGTGTACCAGCCTCCTTTTTTATCAAACCTAGCTTTCTTCTCCACCCACTTCTTGATCGATACCTCGATCTTCGCAAACTCCCCATGCCTCTTCAGAAGTTCCTTCAGCTTGTCACCTGCCAAAACAGCAGAGGCACAGGTGATATGATATGCATGACCAATCTAGTTGGAACTGCTTTCCACGAACCACAATGTGGCCAAGTAACGGCCCAAACTTGTTTGATAAAGTTCCAAAGATTCTTTGGAGCATTTGGGTTCTCCTTTGCTATTGGTTTGTCTGAAGTAGCGCCACATCCTAGGCTGTAGAAAAGGGAATTTCAAGGTGTGAATGCCTGCATGAGTTTGCACAAACATATAATGCTGGTAAATGTCTTCCAGTAACAGGGATCTTGCTTTTTGCGACCTCCCCCCTTCTCGACTGTAGTCTGGATTGTAGTAGTCGAACGACCATCCGCATTCTCTACATATGTGCCCTCACC